CGACCCCAACCCTCAAGGGTGGGGGGGGCGGGGGCCCCCCAGCCCCGGCTCCTGCCGGAGGGGACGGCCAGCCCCAGGGAGCCTGCGCGGGCTGGGAGGGGGCTGCGACGTGGCCTCTGCCGCCAAAGTTTCTCCTGTCACCCCTGCAGCATTTAAACCTGTCGACCTGGGTGATCTGAAGAGGAGGAACACACAGGATGCAAAGAAGTCCTAAGGCGGGTCCTCCCTGTGGGTCGGCTGGTCTCCTAAGGTCCTCAAGCAGATTTAATTTGAGATTTTGTGTTGATTTCCTCCTCTGGTCTGTACTCCCAAAAGCCTGCGGGAGAGCCAGTCAGCTTTGGGGCTGGCTCTGAAGCTACCTGAAATCAAAGATGCTCAGGGGCTCACTGAGGATGCCCAGCGCCTGTTGCAAAGAATTCCAGCACCCCACTCGTAGCTTTCTCTGGCCTCAAGCTGTCCTTCCCCACTTCATGCTGGGCTCACAGATCTCCCATTCTCCTTCCATCTCTGCCCCTGGCGCATTGAGTATGTGGGCTCCCTGGGCTCTGGTGCGCGGCAGGGCAGAGCAGAGCGGCTGTGTTGTCGGTAGAGGCAGCGCTGGTTCTCTGTGCCCTTCTGTGCACCAAGGATCCACGGCTGCTGGGGTGGGCCAGGGAGAGAGGGAAGGAGGGTGGGCTCTGTCCCCGTGCCTCGGGACAGACAGGCAGCCCCAGTTCAACACCCTTCGTGCAGCTGACTGCTGGGCCGGTCACACTGGCTGTTCCTTGCTCCCTTGTGGGAGGGCTTAATTTGTACCTGGGCTGCTGCTGCCTGGGACTCACAGTGCTGCCAGAGCTCGTGGGTCCTTGTCCGAGGCTGGATTTTCCTTGTGCTTAGATTGGGCCAGAGCCCTGTGGTGCTGGAGATGGAGCTGCTCCCCTCTCCCTACGGATGGAGGGAGATGGGGTGTCAGCACTGGCCCCAGCCCCAGGCACCTGAGAGGTGCTCAGAGCGGGGTGCTGGGCCACATTTGCCCCCCACCCCGGCCTCAGTGCTCTGGCAGCTCCATGGGAGGTGGCAGCAGTAGGGGGCGGCTGGTGCTGACTGTAGAAAGAAGCTGGTTGGCATCCTTGCCTGAGCAGCACCGTGCTGTTCTATACTAACACCATTTCCCAGACGTGACCCTTGGAAGAGATCTGGCCTCCACAGCTGGCAGAAATGTCACGGCGTGGGGGCTGCCATAGTCAGTGTAACTCGCCCTGGGGGGGCTTTCCTGGGACCCTCACTCCTGGTAAGGCTCGGGTGGTTTCTGCATCATCGCCTCTGAGCGAGGGAGAGCAACTGTGCCATCCTCGCCCACCTGAGCAGAGCAGCCGGGCTGGCCGCGTCTCCATGCCCCTGGAAGGCCATGGGTC